TATGGTGATTGCACAGCTGTGCTGATCCCTTGCTGACATGAGACAGCAATGAAGCAGCATACCCTACTTTCACCTTCCATGTTTTCTTTTGAAGGAATTGCAACAAAAGCTAAAATGGGAATAAAACTTAGATTCCAAAGGGGAACTTAAAACAAAGTTTTAAATCTAAACTCCCTCAGCCTTTGGAGATGTCATGGCTGACTACTATTTCTTTGGTGGCTAACTCAAAATTCTGTTCCATTTCATAGCAAAATATGTACCTCTGTTTTTTTTTTTTTAAATTATGTTATCTAAGATGTGTCTAATTTCTGGGGGCTTTCTTTTCATTCTTCAGGAATATTTCCAACCTCCTTTCTTGAGTTCCCATTTGAAGTGTTGTTTGAATGCAACAGAATAGCATTCTGTTGACAATACTGAAATAACTTGGAGACTGGAAAAAGCAGTATTCTACTTCATGTTCTTTTCAAGCAAAGAGTGTCTTTCTTTCTTAGTCCCATGGGAAGGCCAAGAAAGACTTCCATTTCTTAGGATGGAGGTAGGTTTTTCCCTGTGATCAGATTTCTCTCACTGTTCTCCCAACATTTTTTCACGTGAAGATAAAGGTAAAGCTGTCAGCAGTCATTTAAACTATGCCAACTGATTTGTCATTAGAGAAAATGAGGAATTATCACACAATTCTTCTGGCTCATAAAATGTATCTGTTCCTCAAGTGAGGACGGCAACATGCACCTGGGGGGGAAAACAGCTAAGCTGCTGCAGTTTTTGCAGTTTATTGCTGCAACAGGAGTTAGGATGCATCAACAGCAAATTACAACATTGCTATCCAAGACCAGTGTTTTCTTAGACATTTTTGTTTAAGAAACTTAACATTGATGCTCTTTGAGTTCACCTGTTTTCTGTTCATGTTTTGGGTATCACCAGAAGTGTTTCAGTTAATTATTATTTAAATTTTTTTTAAACAACACAGCACTTCTGTTTACACTTTTAGTGTTATAGAGATGATTTATAAGATATATTACAGGTTAACTGTCACATGTCTGAGAAATCTGAGAACTCTCATACTGAATAATTACTAAACATGAAGTTTTCTTAAAATATCTTTTATAAACTACAGACGAAATGATATTGAGAAAACTGTTTCATGAGTTAGCATCCAGATTCAATTTTAACACATTTTAAACCCACAACTTTTTACTTTTTGTTTCAACCCTTAATTAACTGTGCTCTAGTCTAGCTTGAAAGGCATGCTCTTGCTTTATGTCTCAAAGTCACAAATGTAATCAACAGGGTGCAAACTGCTGTTGCAGCTATGATTCTCTAAAGTGCTAAGAACCATAAGTGTGATCCTGATCTCTAATCATATGTTTAGCTTTAAACAGAGAAAAGAATGAGACCATCAGGCCAGACTGGTGGGATTGGATTTGGAGTATTCTGTAGACTTCACATCTCAGCCTTCAGACTGCATGCATTATGTTAAGAAAACTGGAGGAAAAGTAGTTCTTCAGTAAGATGCCTACATTCCAGTGTGTTTTTTGCTGTGGTGTACTGTAACCCAGGAAAAGCATGGATGTGGCGATTCTGCTTGTGGCTTTACCCTACTTTTTGTTTATTTATTTGGCCTTAAAACATTCCTGTTTAAAGATCACAAATAAGTAAACGTAAACCACATGGTATTGAAATAGTGCATGTTGTAAGGTTACTTAGGTAATAAAACTCCTACCTGTTAAGACAATTAGAAATGATTTCCACATTTAACCACACCTGCGATCTAGTAACTTTAGCACGTTATAGGTGCCAAGTTTGCCCTGGGATAAGTGAAAGGGGTTTTTTTTGCTATTGAACAACTCCAGTTTCTCCATC